CCCATGATTATATCAATGTGCGAGGAGCTCCTAGTAATAAGATTGACATCATGGCATAGACAGTGCGCCTTGGTAAACAAAATCTTGGTCAAATAATCCTGTTTCGTAGCCGAGGAGAGGTCAATCCATTGAAAAGCTCTGTTAATGTTGGCGAAAGCGAAGAGTCCATCAGCCGGCCGGTCGGTCAGCTTCCTATTCAGGCTCTCATCGACGATGACGCGAGAAATAAAAGATGAATTGCTCTTAGTCATATTGTTCTTTGGCTTCCTTCGCTTGTTTCCGTCCTTGAGAGGCACTGGGACGAGAAAAGCATTGCCTTCTCCAAAGGCAGGCGCAGACCCGAGAGTGACAGAGGTCGCTGGCGCATCACTTATAGATGTGCTTAGTTTATCTTCGCTGCTAAACTTGCTCTCCGCCGAAAGGCGACTTTCGCTAGGGTGTTCCTGAATGCTAGAGCTGTTCCCATTTCCTACGAATGCCAGCGGATTCTTGAAGACCATGGACGGGTTCGAGCGGCCATCGAGGCTGAGAAGGGACACCTTTGTTCCGGCTGATGCTGGCTGTGGAGCTGTCGATAATGGATTGGGATTTATAATGGGTGCTTCAGAAGGGTGCGGAGGCGGTGTTGCAAGATGAAGATCCTCCTTCAAGACATATGTTCCTGGACATCAGCCAGTTAGCCTGGCGTAATTTATATAAAGAGGTCGAAGATAGTCACCTTCTCCGACAAGAAATTGCCATTCAGGCCCGGTCGGATTGGAAAGCGAGTTGTTGGTCTCGATCGCAGGTACCAGAGGGTTGATACCGCCAGCGCCATATTGGCCATTGAGAGGGTATCGTGGGGGCGGGGGAAGAACGCTACGAGGAAGGTCAGAGGATCGAAGCGTGCGGTGTGCGGTAGATTGCGATGGACTTACAACATTGTGTCGGATTTGTGAGAGCTTTACTCCCAAGAAGGCATGCGCGCAGCAGATTGGTTCTGTCTTCAACAAGAATCGATTGGCAACCAGAGGAGCAGGACCGAGGCCGCGATCGCGTGAGAAGGCTGTTCGGTCAGAATTCGGACGTTGCTCGGTTTGTATGGGTAGGCTCAGCGCGAGTTCGTAATTGTCGGACGAGTCTGCGCGGCAGAACTGAGGTGCAAAGACAGTCTGCGCTTGGATCCTGAGTGGTCAGTCCGGGTCGCACACTCGAGGTTGCGTATGTATGGCGGTTGATGGGAGTGGTTCGCTCTGTGTGGGGTAACTAGATCCCTGGGGAGAGGATGTGGTTTGCTGGGCTGGAGCTGGGGCCGGGTTAATTGGAAGGAACCACCATCTGGCGGTCGGGAAACCAGAACCCGGCATCCTGCAGCGACTCATGGACAGCACCCGATGCTATCGCAGTGTGTGGGAAGAGGATGTCTGCAGTGGATTTCATCTGATATCACAAGTATGTAGATATTATCCAGACTGAGCATGCACAGCGTTGCCTTCACTCACACAACCCACGCACCTATCTGTCTATCTATGCATTGGTACTCGACCACATGCGTCATGCAGCGCTGGTGGTATTAGACACCGCATGTTGCTTCCATCCATCCAGCCCACGGGCCCGTTAGCGCACTCTTAGAAGGTCTAGCCGCTAATTGACCCTGCTGGGGCGAATCAGGTGGGGGACCCTCTGCAGCTGGCAGCGACCTGAGTGGTCTGTTTAGTGGAGGCGGCTGGGGGTTGCGAGCGCCTAATTGGCAGGTAAATCCAGAAGGCTGGTGGGTTCTCCCAGCCATGAACGACGACCTTGCACATGGCTCCCGCCCCCTTCGCGCCTACATCATAATTAGTGCACCGGTAAAGAGGCGAACCGCAGTCATCAGCTGAACAGCTATTTTCTACCAGCTTCACGTCCACCGCCGCTGCTGTCTCCTTTATCTTCCACCCAGCTCAACTACCTCTCTGCTTCCTCCGCGAGCCTGACTGCTCTTCCTGTCCTTTGGAAATGGCATCCACATAACTCATCGATCGCCCGGTTCTATATACCCCCGCCGACGTTGCGACTTCCACCATGACGACCGGTTCGTTGCGTCCCCTGTCCAGAACTTACATGCATGCCCAATCTGCCCGAACCCATTCTAACATGCCACCCTCTCCCTCCCATAGTGCGCATATGTGTATGTGGCGATGAGTCCACCGGAAAATCCAGTCTCATAGCCTCTCTCGTCAAGGACCAATTCATCACCAACAAGATACAGCCCGTTCTTCCCCAGATCACCATCCCTCCGAGCATCGGGACGCCCGAAAATGTCACCACCATCATTGTCGATACTTCGGCGCGGCCGCAAGACAGGACCACACTACGCAAGGAGATACGCAAGTGCAACGCTATTCTCCTCGTATACTCCGACCATTACAGCTATGAGAGGGTTGCTCTGTTCTGGATGCCATATTTCAGATCCCTCGGTGTCAACGTCCCCGTCGTCCTCTGTGCCAATAAATCCGACCTGGCAGGGCATAACAATACACCCCAGGTAGTCGAGGAGGAAATGCTCCCTATCATGGCCGAGTTCAGAGAGATCGATTCCTGCATCCGGACCAGTGCTCGCGAACACCGCAATGTCAACGAGGTCTTCTTCCTGTGCCAGAAAGCTGTAACACATCCTATTGCGCCACTCTACGACTACAAAGAAGGTCACTTGAAACCTGCCTGCGTTGCTGCCCTGAAGCGAATCTTCTACCTATGTGACAAGGATCAGGACGGTTATCTCAACGACGAGGAACTGCGAGACTTCCAAGCGAAATGCTTCGATAAACCACTCACTAGTGATGATCTCGAGAATATCAAGGCATCTATCGCGAAATCGATTCCAACATCTGCTATAGAGAAGGGGATCGATCAGCAAGGCTTCCTGCAGCTCAACACTATATATGCAGAGAAGGGGCGTCACGAGACAATCTGGATCATTTTGCGCAAATACCAGTACACGGATAGTCTGAGCCTTGCGGACAAGTTTCTACGCCCGAAGCTCGACGTCCCGGAATATTCGTCGGCTGAGCTCAGTCCGGCGGGGTACAGATTCTTCGTCGATCTCTTTCTTCTGTTCGATAAAGATAATGACGGCGGCTTAAACGACCTCGAGCTGGAGGCTCTTTTCGCGCCAACGCCTGGGCTGCCAACATTCTGGACTGAGTCATCTTTCCCATCTTCTACTGTTCGTGACGAGGCTGGTCACGTAACTCTACAAGGCTGGCTTGCTCAGTGGAGCATGACCACCTTTCTCGAGCCAAAGACCACGATTGAATACCTTGCATACCTGGGCTTTGAACCACAACATCCAAAGGAAAATATCACTTCTGCACTTAAGATCACAAAGCCGAGAAAGAGAAGAAGACGCCCGGGTCGCGTTGAGAGGAATGTAGTGATGTGTTACATCCTGGGTGCTCCTGGAGCAGGAAAGTCCTCTCTTCTAGATTCATTCTTGAATCGTCCGTTCGAAGGCCTCCATCGCCCAACCATTAAACCCCGGCGGGCAGTGAACAGTGTGGAGCTCCCTGGTGGGCGACAGGTCTACCTTATTTTGGAAGAGCTCGGCGAGCTGGAGCCTGCAATTCTCGAAAACGAGACAAAACTAGATGCTTGCGATCTCATCTGCTATGCTTATGACTCGTCTGAGCCGGATTCATTCTCTCACATTGTAGAGATGCGCTCCAAGTACCCACATCTTGATGAATTGCCATCCATCTACACTGCCCTTAAAGCCGACAGGGATAAGACGACCCAGAGAAGCGAGCTACAACCTGACCAGTATACTTCCTCGCTGAATATGAGCACTCCTCTCCATGTCAGCGTGAAATGGAACAGCATCGCTGAGCTTTTCGTGGCCCTGGCCGACACAGCAACGAACCCAAGTAACGGCTTCCCGAAGAGCGAGGAAGAAGCACCGGACAGAACCAGTTTATACATGGCTCTAGGTGCTACGACCTGTGCAGGGATTGCAGCACTCATGATTTGGCGTCGAGCAACAAACACGATGTAATCGTGAAAGATACCCAAGCTACGATGGCAGCATATAATATAAATGCATGTATATGGCTTGCCACGCGGTCTCTGGCGGGTTATTCTTACTCCCTGGGTGCCCGCGATTAGCTCTACTCGGTGATTTACTGTTTTGTACCATATTTGACCCATCGCCCCTTTTCCAATATTTTCTTCCTTTTCGGTCTCATTTTCGAAACAGACCTTCGGGCCCTGTGTTGCATGGCGAGGAGTCGAGTTCGGCGCAGCGTTGGGCAACATGTCAGGCCCTTTGGGTCTTAATATCCCCTCGCATCAGAGTGGGATTTGGCTTAGGCTTGGTGTTTGACTTAACTGGTTTAAACTTATGAAATCTCTTGGTAGGCTATATGAATAAGTCTACCTTAATATAATATTATGACATATGGGTGCTTCAGTCTTTATATTCAAAGCCAACCCCTGTAACAATATATAGATCAAATTGAACATGATCTGTCGGCCCGATGCAGTCAAATGTGATAATCTCTTCTGAGCTGTTCTCCCTGAACGAGCAATGTTTAGACAGTAGGTTGGCTATACAAGAGACCGGCTAACCAGAGGCCCTGCTAGATCCTGAGATAACATACCATGAATGCCGAATCTCGCAGTACAGAAATTTGTTATGGGCTATATTTTGTTACTGGGTAAGGCGCACACTCCGAATTCCTCGGACAGCCTCGTTGGATAGAGCAATAGAGAAGGGGAACAACCACCCATATAAAATATCAGCACCAAGAGCCTTATTCCGGGAAAGGAGAAAGTTCAATTGAGACCTAGAGAACATGCAACATGTCACGGAGATTGTAAAAAAAAATCATTCATTTTCTCTTCTTGATGATGCGCTAACCATTAGTATTTTTCTCCCGTTGCCCATTTCTAAAGAACTTAAAGAATACACATGACGAAATTTTGCTGATGTAGAGGTACTGTTACAGCGGAAAAGGAAGGAGCAAAAGCACAAGCACAGATTTCTACACCTTGTAGAAGCAGAAGCCCAGATAGAAGCTTGCGGCCTCCTTCTCCTCCTCCGAGATGAGGAGCGAGCCCCCTCCCCTCTCCCGGACACCCATCCTCTCGCTCAGGGGGCCCAGCTCGCGGTCGTCCTTCTCGGCCTCCCAGATGTCGAGGAAGGGGCGGTGGAACTGCAGCTCGAGGTTGAAATCCTCCGCCAGGGCGCGGAAGGCCTCCCAGGGGACGACGTACTCCGGGACCTCCTCGACGGCCTCGTCCAGGAAGAAGTTGTACTTCCAGCCAAAGGCCGGGCGGAATACGCCATCCTCGGGGGTCTTGCCTGGGAAGCGGACACGGTAGATGGAGTTGCCCCATTCCGCGCCGGGGTCGGCGGGAGGCTCGTCGTCCTCGGCTTCACCCTCCTCCTTCTCCTCGGCGGGCTCTTCGTCGGCGCCTGATCCATTGAGCTTCGCTTCCTCGGCCGCCTTCTTCTTGGCGGCGTGCTCCTCGTTCCACTTCCGGACGTGCTCGCCCAGGACGTCCGAGTTGGGGATGCAGCCGATGAAGCGGCCGCCCTTCTTGAGCGCGCCGGCGACGTTGCGGAGCATGTTGCGCGCGTTCGTCTCCGACTCGAAGGCGTAGTGCATAGAGAACATCATGCTGACGACGTCGAAGCCGCGCCGGTTCATGGGGGACGGGTCGAAGCCGACCTGCTGGATGATCTCGAGGCTCTCAATGGTCTCGCCGAAGCAATCCTTGACGTAGAAGCGGCCATCGAAAAGACGAGGCTGGGGTCGTCGATTGTGGCCTCCCCTCCCGCCGCGCGAGCTCAGATTCCTGTACCGGTCCCTCGCCTGGGTGATGCTCACGTCCGCCGGGTCGAGGCCGACGTAGAGCTGGACGGGCTGCGGCGCGGACTGCCACTTGTTCAGGTCGCCGCCCTTGCCGCACCCCATGTCCAGCACGAGCAGCTCCTTGCCGCTGGAGCGGCCCGCCTCGCGCGAGCCGGGCGCGTGGTCCTCGTCGGGGGAGTACCGCTGGATGATGCAGCTCTTGATCCAGTTGTTGAAGACGCGCAGGCCCTTGATCTTGCTGTCCCTCGTGCGCCACTCGCGGCCGCGCTCGGGGACGCTGTTGTAGTGCTGCCGGACGACGTCGTGGTTCCCACGCGAGTTGTTCTGCTCCTCGTAGGCGGAGGCGCTCTCGCGGTCTCGCTCGACCTGGCGTCGCTGGATGGCTTCGCGCTGGGATTCGGAGATTCGGGCGCGCGCGCCGGGTCGCTTCTGCTTGCGAGGCTGCTCGGATGGCGAGACGGCTCGTCGCTTCACGGGCTGCAGAGAGCTGGCGTTGTAGGGTTGTGGTAAGTCATCTTGGCCCTCCTCGTTTCGTCGCTTGCCGTTTTGGTTCACATTCGAACTCGGCCTTGCGTTCGTCGAAGGCCTATTGTCCGACATGATTGGAATTTCGTTAGGTTTGATACTCAGGATTAGTTGGGATAGCAGTTCTCAGATGTAAGGAGTTGAGTTGAGCAATTGTGAGTTTGAGTCGGGGAGCTAAGCATTGGCTGAGAGTGGCTGAAATTTTCAAGAGGACCTGTGGCTTGGAGCTGCAGCCACACGAGGGCGATCGAGCCGCCCTTTGCTTGTGCACAAATATGTAATCCAAACATTCCGTTCTAGTAAGGAGGATTCCCTAAATATCGCTATTCTATTAAATAAGAAATCTTCCTTTTCATTTCAGTTGTCCCAAGAAATATCAGAATTGACCAAGGTTGTTGCTTCGCTCTCCCAAGCCCCCGTGTTTCAAGACCAACTAAAGCGCTTACATTTACACAACTTCACATAGCTTCTTCCTTAGATTCATGGTTTCCGATGGTGGAATCTTTGTTCCTTTAGTTTAGAAAACTTGGCGAAAAGATGGAGAAGTTAATTAGGTAGGGAACATGGGTTTAAGTCAAAAGAGAGGGTCATTTCATGGCATAATCGTCCAATATACACTATTCTAGCTGGATATAAACAAGATATACCTGTGGACAGAGCTCATTCTATCGTATGAACATGCATTGCTTCTCAATTTCGAGTGAAGAAAATATACTGCGATAATACCAGTATTCAAAATGAGCTTTTCGTGCCAACAACACAGAAGTCACTTAGTAGACTTCGAGGACATAACGACCCTGTTCCTTGAGCTTCTCAATCTCCTTCTTGGGATCAACCTTCTTGGCTCCGCTAATCTTGGCTTCGAGAGAAATGGCTTCCTGGAGCACCTCGGTTACATCGGGCACAGGCCAAGTGGGACCACAGAGGTAGAAGCTTCCTTCTTCCTTGATATAAGCCTTGACAATGTCGTCAATGGTCTGGCGCATACGGTCCTGGATGTAGATCTTCTGAGGCTGATCACGAGAGAAGGCAGAACCAATGAGAGTGACAACACCAGCAGCCAGATAAGCCTCCCATTCCTCGCCGTACAGATATTCTTCACGCTGGTGACGAGATCCAAGGTAGAGCAGAATGGAGCCGATCTCCTTGCCCTGAGCCTTCTGCATGGCACGGTACTGGACAAAGGCTCGGAAAGGAGCCAGACCAGTACCAAGACCAGCCATGATGAGAGGGGCGGTATCGTTGACAGGAAGCTTCATGACTGAGGGCTTGACGGAGGCAGTGACAGCAGTTCCAGGAGCGAGGCGGCTGAGGTAGTGACTGGCATGACCGTATCGAGTGCGGCCCTTGGTGTCAACCCAGTCAACAACGACAATCATGAGGGAAACAGCGTTGGGAGTGACAGCTTGAGCAGAGGCAATCGAGTACTCGCGACGCTTGAGAGGGCTAACGATCTTGGCGAGGTCGTTGAAGCTAGGGTGTGCAGAACGGAACTCTTCCAAAATGTCGACATAGGTAAGGGTGTCAACCTCGCTGCGGCGCTTGAAGTCCTCAGCGCCCTCCTGGCCACCAAGAGCCTCCAGCTTCTTCTTCTCGGTCTCATCGGTAGCAAACTCGGCCAGAGCTTCATAGAACCTCTTGGGGGGCTTTCCGAGGATATCAACGTTCTGCTTGAGGGCCTGGAAGACCGTGCGGACTTCAAGGGCAGAGGCGTCCTCACGAGAAGTAACTCGCACAAGCTCGTTGGGGTTGAGGCCGTAGAACTCAATGAATGCATTGACCTCTTCCTCGTCGTTCTCGGCGTGGATACCCAGAGCCTCGCCAATCTTGTAGGTAAGACCAGAATCGCCCAGATCGAACTCGATGTGGAAAATGTTTCGGTTGTAGTCCGAGGGGGTGAGCCTTCGGTTCTCCTTGACACGAATCGTGGAAGTCTGGACAGGAAGGTCGGGGCGCAGCTTGGTCTCGGCATTGAATGCCTCCTTGAAGGCCAAGCCCTTGGCAGCAGCCTGCCAGTCACGAAGCTCAAGAGCCTCCTCGGACTCTTCCTTCTGGAAAGAGACGAAGCTGTTAGGTTGGATGGAAGCTCCCAGCTGGGGATCAGCATAGTCGGCATCCACCTCAGCCCAGGCAGCTGGAATCTCAATCTTGCGCAAGCACTGGCCGATGGCATCAACGACCTCGTCAAGAGTAGTGGAGTGGCCTTCTGACAGAATCAACTTGCCGATGTCACTTGCGGGGAGATCAGGTCGGGCAGTTTGCAGGAAAGCAAGTTCCAGCAAAACCTTGGAGGCCTCATCCTTCTCAAAGGCAGGTGAGTAGGATGCATCCAACACAAGAAGGTTGGCTGCCTTCTCCTGGAGGGCTTTGCGGACAGAGACGGGAATTCGCTTCTCAATCTCATCTTCCTTGAAGTTATTGAGCTTCAGGATGAGGGTACCCTCCTGAGAAAGTCCTCTGACAACATCAACCTCCTTGAGAACGGCGTCATTGCCAACAACGACTACATCGGCGTCTCGCACTTCGTAAGGGGCTTCAAGAGCCTTGCTAGAAGCCCGGATATCAGCACGGACCAGACCACCTTGAGCAAGGTTGTCATATGCTTCATAAACGAAGACATTGGTCTTGGAGTCCTTGGAAAGAACGTTGCCAATGACACTGGGGGAGTCGACGGAGGCTGAGTTGTCAACATCCCAGAAGGTGTACTGCTGAGCGCTGATTATGGAAGGCAGCAGATTGGCCTCGCCGTCGTTGTTGAAGATCCTGTGAAGAGTATCTACGATACCCTGAGGGGTGATAGGCTGAGAGGGGGTGTACTTGACGTCGAGAACGAGGGGATCCTCATCAAACTTTCCAGAGAAGGTAACGGCAGTCAAGACATCGGCGTAAAGAGCGGATTGAGTAGCCTCGTCCGTTGCAGCAGCGGTGGTCTGGACCTGTCCGAAAACTGCAATGGTACGGGCAGACTTGGGGATAACACTCAAGAAGGCTTCCTCAATGAAAGGTCGGTAAACTCGAACATTGACAACGCCAGCCTTGGCGCCCTCGGCAGAGATCTTGCTCAAGACCTGCTTGGCTGTCTGGGACTCAACACTCCCGAAAGTAACAAGAACCACATCGGCCTCCTGATGGCCATGGTACTCGAATGGCTCATAGACGGTTCCGAGCTCATCGTTGAAGAGCTTGAGGAGCTCAACAACCTTACCGGCGTTGTCTAAGCGCTTGTTTAGGTTGCCAGCTTCGGCAGAAAGCTTATTATACAGGTCCGCAACTCCGGTCTCGCCCAAAGCATCAACGACACGGAGAGTCTCCCGAGAAACGCGAATACCATCATAAATATGGATAGTGGGAATCAAGGAAGCCAGAAGCGTGGAGAAAAGCGACATGTGCTGGGCCTCATAGGTGGAAGAGCTGGCAACAAGACCAAGACCCAAATCTTCAGCCAATCTAAGAGCAACATCGTAGTTCGCGACGAGGCCAGCGTCTGCGGAGTAGTCTGCGGCAGCGATGTGGGCAACAAATGGGCTGGAAACTCCGTAAAGGAGAGAGAGCTGATCCAGAGAAGCCCGAAGCTGGTTCAGGTTGCCGGAGGCAGCAATAAGAGTCTGGGGAATGTGTCGCTTGGTAACATCGAAATCGGGAGAGAAGATGTATCCAAGAGCCAGGGCACCGGCTCCGGTTCTGGATTGGAGCGAGAGCACAGAAGGCTCATAGTTGTGGATGTTCTTCTCGGCGCTGGCGGCCCAATCTTTCAGAGCCAAGTCGAGGTCGAAGGTCTCCGGGGAGTAGGAAAAGACTTTGTCGGAGAGCTTGTATGCGATCTGCTGGACAAGGAGCTGGGCAGTCACATATGTCGGGCCAGAGATGGCCGACAATTGGACGTTTTGCCCAAAGGGAAGGGTGGATGATTGCTTCCCCATCGTGGATCGAATCGCGGGGTATTGGCAGCCGGGTCGTGAGATCGTTCAACTACCAGATCGAGTCGAGATAATGGCAGACGACCGGTGAAGGGCGACGCTGTCGATTCCCCCTGAAACTGATATTAATATAAGACTCGAGGTCCGGGGCAAGGGTGATCAACCACGGGGTTTGCTGGTGCCTCGGAGAAGATGAGGGAGAAAAAAAGCAGAATTGCCAACCCGGCCGGGGCCACAAGCGGACCTACAACAATCAGGACCCATCGTGGAGTGTTGCCGACGGCTCTGCCGCAACGGCTTCATGACTTTTGCGTGCTTAGGCATTTTGCCTGTTGCCGGACAAGAAATTGTTGATTCAAGATGAGGATCACGCCATGGGCGCTAGGCCCCAAGCGGAATGGCCCCATCGCTGGACCCCGAAAAACTGGCAGGAGCCCGAGTTTCGGGGAGGCTCCACCTTCCCGAGTGCCGGATTTTTAAGAAATGGCGATTCTCTGAGAAATCCGACACCTTCCACAAACCACCGACTCCCGACTCGATAACGTCTACCGGCGCCGGATTCGAAAACTTTGAATCATCATTCACGGAAGTTTATCCAGAAGCAGCAGATCCTTTTTAGTCAGAGAACATTCCGATCACGCACCTGAACAATTCCTCTTCGGCCTCCCACATCCATCCACAACCTGGACTTGCTCCTAAGTTGCGGAAACCCAGCATGAAGTCTTTACTACTCAGTACAGTATCCAGCAAAGGCCGTGCCTAATGGTTAATAGCATTCAACCGTTATATTTCCAGGTCCACATTCCACAACACGCTGGATTATCTAGCTCTAATATGGAGGGGCTCTCTGTCAAGTCATCGGTCTTCAGTCCGAAATGCAATCACATGGCCATGCTTCATACAAAGGCTCAATTGCATGAAAAGTTCGAGATACTATATCTAACGTATGATAGAATAGCAACTTCGCGTACACCACTTCTCACCCATGCTTCAATTCCCCAACTTATACAAAGCCAAAGCCATACACACACACCATGCCCAGCTAGTAAATTGACCTTTGCCACTACCATTCATCCTCGAATCTCGTTCAAAGGAATTCACTATCCGTCTGGTAAGACTTCAGGCCTGCTGTAATGTTCAAAACCCGCACAGCATTCT